GTTGGTGGAAGATGCAAATTGAAGATTTGCTGGTTCAGAAAGATTTGGACGTGGTTTTGGGTGACAAGCCAGAAAAGATGTCAGATGCAGATTGGGCAGGTTTGGATCGAAAAGCAATGTCCGTGATCCGTCTCTCGTTGACCAAGAATGTTGCCTTCAACATTCTGAAGGAGAAGACAGCAAAGGGAATTATGGACGCGCTGTCTAACATGTACGAGAAGCCATCTGCAGCGAATAAAGTTTTTCTGATTAGAGAGCTGGTGAACACAAGGATGAAAGAAAGCACTTCAGTTACCGAGCATATCAACAAGTTAAATTCGATCTTAAACAGACTTGCGTCAGTTGGCATTAAGTTCGATGATGAAGTTCAAGCTTTGCTACTACTATCGTCTTTGCCTGATAGTTGGTCCGGAACGATTACAGCGGTTACCGGTTCAGTGGGACCTGATGGATTCACCTTTGATCAGATTCGAGATCTCGTTCTTGGCGAGGATGTCAGAAGAAAGAGTCTAGGGGAGTCATCTGGTGAATTGCTTCATGTTGGTAGAGGCAGAAGAAATAGCAGAGGTAGTGGGAGCGGGAACAGACGAAGGAGTCAGTCGAAGACTCGCGACAGCTCAGGTGTAACGTGCTGGAAGTGCAAGGAGGTAGGGCATTTTAGGAATCAATACCCGAATGACAAGAAAGTGAACATTGCTGAAGGTTCTGCGAGTGACGAGGAAGTCACTCTGACTTGCTGTGAGGAAAGCAATGTGGATTCCTGGGTCATGGATTTTGGTGCTTCATTTCATGCCACCCACAGCGGTGAAGCATTGCAGAATCTGGTTATTGAAGATTTTGGAAAGATACGACTAGCAGACGACAGAGCTCTTGAGGTGACGGACATGGGTGACATAGTGCTGAGGACCCCAGTCGGTTTCTGGACTTTGAAGGATGTCAGAGTTGTTCTAGCCTTGAAGAAAAGTTTGATTTCTGTTTGGCAGTTGGACGAACAGGGACACGAGGTGAAGTTCAGAGATGGGCAGTGGAAGGTCGTGAAGGGAAATCTTGTCATGGCCCGCGGAAGGAAGAGTGGTTCGTTGTATATGGTCGACTTACCATCTGAGGGAGTGACCGTCCCAGTTCAGAAGAGAAACAAAGTACGGTTCACATAGTCTCGTGGGCAGAATAAGGTTGTCTATGCAAGAGAGAAACCTAGAGCCACAGGTCAGACTCATGATGTACGAGCGATGAAAGGTTCAAGGAGGCCAGAGGTATTTGTGGCAGTGGGAGCTCAAGAGGCGCTTCAGCCAAGTTGCCTAGAAGACAGTGGGTCAGGAGAACCAGTATTCCAGCTGTTCGAACATCTCCAGAAAATTTCTTGCTGAGTACGGAGATTGTTTGTTCTCAGGATGTTCCAGGATCCGGCAGTGTGCGTCTGCAGTGGGAGCCGGTAGGGACCGAGGACTAGTCAGGGGCAGATTTAGCCGTGACTGATGTGTTGGAGCTTGGGAGAGCTTCAACGGGCCTTTCAGTTGTCTGATGAGAGCGCCGCTGCAATAGGAGAGCTGAGGAAGATTACTCGATGTACAGGCGATCGTGGCGGATGGCAGTTGATGATTATCAAGCCTCCAAGTGGGAGAATGTTGGGTTTGTGGAGGCTTGGGCTTGTCTTGTTGGCCCGGCCCATGTGATGTAACCCTAGGTTGTTTTCCTCCTATATATTGAGCCTTGTACTTGTAATTCCGTGAGACACGACAAGTGAAATAAGAAAATCCTCCTGTTGCAGCCGTGGATTAGGGAAACCGAACCACGTTAAATTCTTGTGTGTCGTCCGTGTTCCGTTTCTCTCGTTTCTCGCAGATTATTTGTGTGTGTTGTGTGTTTATTTCCCAACAAGTGTATCAATTTATGCATGATCTGTATCATATTGTATTTTTAAAATTTCAAAACAATGACATTGCTTGGTGGGTCAATCGCAGGAGTCGAGGAGGGATGCTATGCAGACTGGAGTCATGACCTTCTTGTTGCAAGGAAGGTACGTCAAGATCAAAACTGGGACTGCAAGTCTGCAACCTTGGTGTAACACTGTGAATGTTTGATTTCTTGTTGGGGTTTTTTTAGATTGTGTTTGGAACTCGTAAACTCATAGTGAAGGGAAATATGCTAAGAAAAATGGTTTTCTTAATGTTTGGTTTTGCATTGCAAAGTGTGAAGGAATATCACATCCGATTGCAATTTTTTTATCTACATTTTTAGATAATTAGATTTCAGTATTTTTAATGAAAGAAGTATTAAATGAGTTCAATCAATTATCTAAAATTGATATATTGGGTTTGGATCAATTTTTTATTTTCCCCATATTTCTTTCCTTTTGAAATTCTCATTTATTTTCCTTCTTATTTACTTTCCCGGGTTCAAGATGGACCCTTACTGTTTTCCATTTTCCATCTCAGATTTTGGCCATTGAAAGGCTCCCTAGGTTCCCTCATACTATGGTTCTTGAAGGTGGAAGCATTCACGTAGATGGAGAAGGTAAATTGTTTTGCTTCTTGTAAAATTATTTAGTTAACTAATGGAGTCTACTCTATTTACTAGGAATTCATGGTCTGATCAATGTGTGCTTCATTTAGGTACGTGCATCACTACAGCAGAATGTCTCTTGAATAAAAACAGGAATCCTGATATGTCGAAAGAAGACATTGAATGTGAACTTCAACAATATCTCGGGGTCAACAAGGTCATCTGGTTACCGCGTGGATTATTCGGTATGATTTCTATCTTCAAGTAGCATCCACATCTAATTAGCTCGAAGTCTACACTCTAATTCTATTATTAATTTCTTTTACCACTTAAAGATTGGTACTATTTACATCTCACTAAAAATCCCACCCACCAAACTTACACATCAGAAAGCAAGGAGAAGATATTTCCAAAGTCAAATCACAAAAAATAGACATACAAAAATATTTCTTGTTTTCAATTTTTCATTGATTATTGGAATTTTTTTTCTTAAAACATTAAGTCTTTGATGATTCTTAACGATAATAGAACAAAAAAAAAAGTGACGGTTTCCCTTCAACTTTTTGAAAGTTTTTCATTTGCAGGTGATGATGACACGAATGGGCATATAGATAACATGTGCTGTTTTGTGAAACCCGGAGTCGTTTTGTTGTCTTGGACTGATGACAAGGCTGACTCTCAGTATGAAAGATCTTTGGAAGCTCTTACTGTACTCGAAAATTCCACAGATGCAAAGGGCAGAAAGTTTCAAGTGATAAAACTTCATGTGCCTGGTCCTCTCTATATGACTGAAGATGAGGCAAATGGATTATACGAGGTAACCCTCTTTGCTTTTTCCGTGTGCACTCTTATTCATAAACTCATAATAGTGGATTGCATTGTAATGCCTAATTTGCCATCTTTTGTACAAGGGGTGTGCATTTTGGGTTCGGTATGGTTTATCTTAAATCGGGTTGAGGAGATCAATTATCAAAATCTGTTGACCAGGGGAGTTCTCTAGGTTCTTAGAAAGGGGAGGGTCTCCCTCTTTATGTTTTGACTTTTGAGATTCTTTTTGTCTATTGCCCTCATCTTTTCCTTTATATTTTCTATTCCATCACCATTGTTAGGATCAAGATGAAATAATAAAGAAGCTTCCCTCCATCCTTTCTTCTTAGATGGAATTTTCTACCGGTCAACAAAAATCAAATCAAACCCAGTATAGTTTCACTTGGTTTATGTTCTGGTTTGAGTTTGGGTTCACCGGGGTTTCATTGTCCTTTTTGGTTTGCTTCATTTTCAATTTGGCTTCGTTTTGATTAAGTTCTATTCAGGAAAAAGTGTTGCCGACTTGCCGTACATAACTCTAATTCCATGGTGCAGTTTTGGTTTGTGTAAATTGGGTTTGATTTGGTGTAATTTGGTCAAACCAGACCGAGATTACCACCCTTAGGAAGTAAGCATGCTAATTAGTTGGAAACTTAATGCAGTTTGAATTCAACCCTTTTCATTGTCTTTACTCCACCCAGACCGAGATTACCACCATTTAACTGAGATTATGAAATGGATCATGGATGACCTGTAGTCTTCAACCCTTTTCATTGTTTTTACTCCATTTGTCCTTAACTTATCTTCCCTATTTTCTCGTTCGTCCCTAAAGTATCAGTAATGCTTTTAGGGAAAGCAATATATGGTTCATTATATTTTTCTTCAACCACAAGCATAGGTGGGCATGAGCTGGGAAACCCACCCAAGCCCTAAGGCCCGACCATTTCTTAAGAGTTAGATGAAAAATAAGGGCCAAAATTTGGGCTTTGGACAAAGAAAAACCCGTTTAATAAATGGCTCTGGCTTTGGACTTGCTAAAGCCTTCAAGAGCCCGTCCTGATATTAAATATGATATGAGTGCATAACTAAATAACACGACCTATTCAATTATTCTAGCGCCTTCAACCCTTGGCATACTTTCTTAATTGGATTTTATTTTTTACATGAGCTTATAAATTTCTCTTTTTTCATTTATTGCAGCTTTTATCTTTTTGAATTCATATTACTATAATTTGGACAAAATACAAGGCCTGTTTTCTCAGGTCTGGTCACCCCGGGTTTGGGTATAATATTTTGAGTAATTATTGGTGTAAAGCCGGACTGAACCCACCCGGCCCAGCCTATGCCCACCTATATTTATCACACAGATTTCACTTTCTGTCATTCTTACTGTGCACAGTCAAAGTGAGCTTTAATTTAGGGATGAGGGAGCACTAATTAGGAACTTCATCTTTGGAAACAGGACGGCGATGCTAAACCAAGAGCTCAAGGCACACGGCTTGCTGCGTCATATGTGAACTTCTACATTGCAAATGGTGCAATCATCACTCCACAATTTGGAGACAAGAAATGGGATGATGAAGCTGTTCGAGTTTTGTCACTCGCATTTCCCGATCACGAGGTAATTGGCACTTCAATACGACAGCATAAAGAGCCCATGTGGCGAGTGTAGAATTTGGCTGAAATGATTGGATTTGTCTAATAAGGTCACTTATTTTTAAATATACTCCCTCCGCCAATTAAAAAAATGCCATGATTGACATTTGTAGTCGAACAAGTTAAACTTTGATCTGTAACTTTTTTATTGAAAAATGATTTACATAACAACAACAACAACAACCCAGTTGGATCCCACAATAGTAGGGTCTGGGGAGGGTGCGAGTAGGGAGGCTGTATAATTTTTCGTTGAAGTACAACATTTATAATTTTCAATAACATATGTCATCTAAAAACATTGGTCAAAATTAAACATGCTATGTATTTGACCATAGTTTGTAAGGCGGCAAGGCTAGGCGAGGCGCCAATGCACCTTCATATCGCCTAGGCGACTAGGCGCGCGCCTAGGCGACGACATACATACCTACATGTATATATATATGTGTATATATATATATATATATATATATTTATTTATATTTGTATTTATATATTTATATATGTATATATAGGACATACATTTTAAGGAAGCTTGACAGAGAAGACCGAGAGAGAAGATAAGTTTAAGTCTATTAGGCTACACTAAAAGAAAATGGGCTGCACTAAAAAATGGGTTTTTTCAAAATTTTAAAGTGGCCCAAGGCATCAAGGCGAGGTGAGGCGAGGTAAGGCGAGGAAAGGCGACGCCTAGGCGAGCGTCTGGTCGCCTTATGGTTTTCTAGGCGAGGCGAGCAGACAAGGCGTCCTAGTGATAGCGCCTTATCGCCTAGGCGACGCCTTACAAACTATGTATTTGACAAAAAGTCTAAGATGGCAAAGTCTAATGTGCGGATATTTTAAAACATTTAAAAACTCCTCTTTACTTTTATACTATGTTTGGTTCGAGAACATTTGGAAGGAAAGGAAAATAAAATGATTTCTCTTCTTTTCCTCACCAAAATGGAAGGAATCCAATTCTCCTTCTTCTTAGCCTATTTGTTTCTTCTCATTTCCTTTTCAATTTACTTTTCTTTTCTTTGTCCTGTCTAAACAAACATGAAAAATGGATTTCATCTTATTTTCTATTCTTTTTCCTCTCAAATTCCTTAAACCAAACATAGTGTTAAGGAAATGATTTTGTGGCTTACATTATTTCTCTTTCATCTAAACAAATTCAACCACATTTTCTATTTCTCAAATTGAGCCAAAGATTCAATCATCTATGGAAGATTCACTATTTCTTTTACTTTGGGGTATAATGAATCAAAGCGAAAGTGCTCTTTAAACTGTCTGCGGTTCTTCTAATAGTGAAGTAACAGTTAGTTAATGCAACTTCTCATCATGGGTCATCCGGAAATAGTTGCTCTATCTTTTAATTCTAGGATTTATAGGTGTGAGGCTGCATACGTGATTACATGTGGTGCTTGAGCCAGGATCTCTTTGGAAACATTGTCTTAAACATTGTTTTTTTGCCCCCCCCCCTCCCCCCAAAAAACAAGAACTTTAAAACTTTAAATTCTACTTTCTAATTTGAAACCTAGCCCTGCCTGCCCCTGCGTGGACAGGGGGAGTACCATAGTTATTAAGGGTGTGAGGCACAAAGGGGGCCTAACACGTAGAGGCACATTTGAGGTGCGCGTCTCAAGAACATGAGGTTCAAAGAGCGAACATAAAGAGAATTACATTTCAGATTAACAAGAAAACTATTCAAACACATACAAATCACAACCTGCATTACAAATGAAGCATAAAATTCAGAAGATATAAAGTTCATGGTTTAAACTTTGAAGTAACATTCAAATAGAAAATATCATTACAAATCAGGCTTCTTCCTTTCATGCTGAAAAAAGTATTAAAAACATTTAAGAAATTAATAAAGGGATATAATGTGTAGAAAGAGGGATAGGAAAACACCACAAAACAAAAAGCTAAGCAAAATCAAATATGACTGCTGAATTTCAAAGTAAAAACTATAAGGGGCCAAAAAACATAAAAAAACAATATGAGAGAAAGCAAAGAAGCGTAGGAATAACCGAAGAAGAAGAAGATGATGGTGATGATTAAATAACCCTAGAATGATATTTTATGGTTATTAATTCAGAAAAAAATATTTGTCCTTGAGGCGCGCCTCAGTCACGGTTCACTTTGTGTAGATAATGCACGGATTGCATGCACCTTTCAATCATCATCCACCTCAGCCTTGCGCTTCAGGCGCACCTTTCACAACTATGGGGAATACCAAATAATACTTCCTCCATCCCACAATTAAATTGACAATTTTACTTCACGGAATTTAAGAAAAATTTTGATTGAAATTTGTCTAGAAGAGAGAAATGGTGTAAATTACATATTCTTTTCTTAAAAAAGAGAAAGGTGAAGTGTAAAGCTAATTTTGACACAGACGGAAAATGGAAGTCTAAAGTTAATTGTGTGGCGGATTGGATATCTACAAATAAACAAAAGCACAAGATTTTATTCTTTTATTTCAGTCATTTCATTAAAAAAAAGTTCACTATTTTTCTTCGTTCTCTGTTTCTGCCAACGTATTAAACTATGTTCTTTTTTGGTGAAAAAAATTGATGCTACCAAACAAAACACAAAATGAGGCCTATGTTGATTGCTATATCATGGCACACTATAATGTTTCAAGTGCAATGTTGATGTAAATGGGAATGTTCACTCTTATGCTGAGCTTAACATCTGATGTGTCAAGGACTTGTTTGGCACAGGTAGTTAGAATTGAAGGTGCAAGGGAGATCGTCTTAGGAGGCGGGAATATACATTGTATCACTCAACAACAGCCGCTCTGCTCATGAAGGCCGGCGATTATGAAGTTTGTAGTGGTTTTCCTACACACTTTTTATAAACAATAAAAGGTAGAACAGCTTCCTCCTATGATCTGCTGCATTATTATTATTTAAATTGGCGCATTTGAAGCTCCATTATTTATGCTTTGGTAAAAGCCGCTGATGGCTATTGATGCCTATGTGCAATCTTTTTTTTCCCATTATAAAGATACAACTTTTGAACAATTGAATTGAACAAATTCAGGCCAAGCTCACTGTGCATTCGCCATAGATGTGCGTAGATGATTTCGATTTTGACTCTTTATATGTGCTAGCTTATTAGCTACTTTGCAATTGAATCAGAGATATGGACAAAGTGTGAGTTACTACTCAAATAAAAATGGATGATAGGTATTCTTGTTTTGAGATTTCTTGTGTGTATGAGTTCTACAGTCTACACTATATGCCAATTTATCTGAATCTCCCATGTTTGTAGTCTTTTGCACAACCACATAAAGGAAAGAGAAATTTACCTAAATAGGACTAAAACATAATGACTTTCTCAATATAGGACCATATGTTTTTATTTTCCAATGTAGGACCTTTGGTCATTATCACGAAGTCATTATTCAACTAAATGTGCATCATTGCTGGACATTATTTCTTCCACTAGGTCATTATTAAGTCCTATTTATGGAATAAAAAAGTTTAAATCCTACATTAGGAAAGTCATTATGTTTTAGTCCTATTTAGTGCAAATTTCACTAAAGGAAATAAGGTTAGGTGCAACTATTGAACCCTAGTTTTTGGAACTGATTATATAACCCTACCCAAGGTTAACTCTATATCCTTTTTTTAACTCACCAGGAGCCTTTAAATTGAGATGAAATTTACTAGGAAGAATTATCTCAAATAATCTCACCTTTTTGCGTTCTTCTAAAAATAATCTAAGTTTTCATGGTCACGGAAAAAATCTCACATTATTATTAAAAGAATTTTTAGAAAATGCTTATTTTTTGCAAATAAATAAAAGGTGGGATTATTTTAAGTAAATTTATTGAATTTACCTAAACTATTGTCTTTTAAGGTGAGATAGTACTTGAATAATATCTAGTGGTAGGAACAATGTTGAGTGATGGTGAATATTTAGTTTGAACAATGTCCAGTGGCGGTGGACATTTATTTCAATAATGATCAATGGACAATGACCAGTAGTACTACATAGGAAAATAAAACATATAATGTTATATTGGAAAAGTTATTATGTTTTAATACTATTTAGGTAAATTTACCTTAAACATAATGGATATCGATATGAGTCCAAACGTTGAGACCCAAATCCATATCTAGACCATCTCCTTTCCTTATTTAGTTTCTACAATATTCCCACTATCTCTGAATACGTGATGGTTTCCATGACATTGCCCGGCAATGTCATGGGATGACCCAGAGGCGCTTCGCTACTCCCGGTAAACCTTCTACCCTGCCCTGATCCGAACACACACCCACGGTTGACCCACCTTCTTCAATTGCACCCTACAAGTTAATTTTGTCTTTGGAGTAAAAAATAGTTGATTGTAAAATGTTAAAGCTGGACAAATATTCAGGGACGAAGATACTCCCTTCGTCCCAAAAAGTCCTTCACGTTTCAAAAAAATCGTGTCCCCAAAAGTCTTTCCCATTTCTATTAAAAAACTACTTTTACTCTTTATTTTTTCATACTCTACCTATCACATCATATCTTTTTCCTAATAATCTACACATCATATCCTACCTTTACCCATCACATTAAGGGTATTTTTAGAAAATTAACACAAAATTATCCCTTCTTTATTTTACCACTTTAGTCAATATGTCCCTATCTTTATGGGTCGGAGAGAGTATTATTCTTTAATTGAAACATGTTAATATTTAAGAAATCAACTAAATAGAAGTAAACATACAAAAAGTACCAAAATATGAATTTCATGTTTTTATTCCTAAAATATATAGAAGCTTGCATTGTGATAATGTTTTAGTATATAATGAGAATAAAATTATAAAACTCTTATTTTAGTATATTTTTTATGTTTTGCTTATACTTAAGTCTTTTTTCCTTAATATATTGCATTGAATCTGTATTCTCCAATTAAAATGTATATAGTCTTTGAAATCCAAAATTTTTAAAACATGTTAATAGATTAATATATGCATCTTTCAAAGAAGAATGTTTTGATAGAAACTTGCATATTTGTATGTAGTAACAATTTTAATACTCCGTATTTAATATTTGTAAGTTTTAAGTATTTTGCATACCTTCACTACTCTATTTTAAGTATTAGATGCATTTTGTGTTTTGTGTATCACGACCACATTATTTTTTAAAATAAACAATACTTTTTCGGTCTGTGAATTTGATATTTCTAAATTGACTTTCCATGGATTTTAAAAAGAGTTAAAAAAGAATATAAAATGTCTAATTCACTCTTAATAATGGTGGGTTTAGTGTATTACGGAGTATATATTAAATGAGATATGTGAGATGCAATAAATAGACTAAGAGTAATTATGATATTAACATGTTAAAAAAGTAATGAAAGACCATTGTCAAACACCCAAAATGGTCATTTTAGAAGATCAAGGAGGGAGAATCAATTTGCTAAGCCATTCTTACATGAACTATATTGATGTGGTTCCGTTGTCATTGTAACTCAATATCACAGAAGGATGATTTGAGTCTATTATATTGAAGAGTAATACGGTGCTCTGTAAAATGGTTCTTACTTTTAAACATCTTTTTCATTTTACTGATTTGCTACAATAGCATTGTATCAAATCAGCGAAATAAAGAAAGAAGGCAAGGGGCTAAGAACCACTTCTGATCCCATTGAAACATCATAAAATTTCGATGTAATAGCATGAGTGCATGACATTGCAAACCAATTTCAGTTCATGACATGACATTGAGAAATAATGTCATTTGAATCGTAGTGAAATTAAAGTCTTAGAGACAAGTCAAGTTGACTAAAGTCCTCTTGACCTTTCTCAGGCTTGTGACCATAAACCATTTCCCTCATATTCCCATAGCTCCTTGCACCATCGGCTTGCCTATAATTAGTGCCCGGGCCAAGCCCCCGGGCATCAGCTAGGCTCATCTCCATGCTCTTCTTGGCTAGGGTTCTCTCCAACTTGTGAGCATTTTGGTGTCCTCCCAGGGCTTGTGAGCTAAAGAATTTCCTCCTACAATAGTTGCATGCAAATACTCGCGACGACGAAGAAGGGGGTGACGTCAACTTGAGCTCGTTCTTGGATAGTAAGCTCAAGTTAAGCGTCGTGTTTGGCTCATAACTCATGTTTAAAGCACTTTTGAGATTATTATGAGGTTGAACATATGGAATATAGTTATGATTTTAATTTCACGAAATCTATTATAATTAGAACTTATATTTATTACAAGCTAATAAGCTAGGAAAGTGTTTTTGTAGGGTAAGACTTAAGAGCAAGAAATGAAGGGTATAAATAATTAAGAGTGACCAAACATGATGAAGAGAGAGAGAGAGAGAGAGAGAGAGAGAGAGAGAGAGAGAGAGAGNATAATTAGAACTTATATTTATTACAAGCTAATAAGCTAGGAAAGTGTTTTTGTAGGGTAAGACTTAAGAGCAAGAAATGAAGGGTATAAATAATTAAGAGTGACCAAACATGATGAAGAGAGAGAGAGAGAGAGAGAGAGAGAGAGAGAGAGAGAGAGAGAGAGAGATAACGATAATTAAAGAGAATTAAACACCCTCAAATATTAGTGGGATTCAAAGGCTGAATTGTCACCACCTTTAAAGGCAAAGAAACTATTAAGCAGTCACTTTTAAAAATATTTTTTCAGTTCAATTTTTTGCAATATTAAAAAAATACTCCCTCCGTTTGGAAAAACCCTTCCCACTTTGAAAATAAGGCAAATTAAGGAAGTGTAAAGTTATAGTTGACTTCCAATTTTGCCCCCGATGTGATGGGTAAAAGTAAGATGTGATAGAATTATTATTAGAGAAAAAGTATGATGTGATAGGTAGGGTATGAAAAAGTAAGGGTAAAATTGGTTTTTTAATAGAAAAGAGAAGTGTTTTGTTAGAAGTGAAAAAAATGAAAGAGGAAGTGTTTTTGAGAACGGAGGGAGTATATGATTAGAATATTTTTAAACAAAAAAACCCATATTATTGCATGTTTAGTTACTCCCTCCGTCCGGAAATATTCTTCCCGTGTTGACTTGGCACGCTTATTAAGAAATAGTAAAAAATGCAAAATTTTCAAAAATGCACATACTATAAACTTTAAAAAATCTCCTTTTGTTATTAAAAAAGCACTAAAAAAGTAAAATAGTGATATAATAAAAGGGTATTATTGAAATTTATCCTTAAAAAGTATACTAAAAAAGGAAATGGGAAGAATATTTCCGGACGGGCCAAAAAGGAAAGTGGGAAGAATATTTCCGGTAGGAGGGAGTATAAGTTTAAATGAATACTACTCCCTCCGTCCGTAAAAGGTGTTGTTGTTTCATTTTTTGAGCATCTCATAAAACATTTTTATCCTGTCTCAAATGCCAAAAAAATTTCAAAACAACTTCTACCCACAATAAATGAGAAGTATGGTAAATTTTAAACATTTTAAATTTGAGTAAAAGTGTTTTATAAGATACGTAAAAAATGAAATAAGAACATCTTTTTCGGAAACGGAAGGAATATACAACTAGGAAATGTTTTTTGAAGGAAAAATAGAAGGTGATTTTTGGGAGTAGGTATAATTACATGTCTTTTCAAAGACACGTACGGTGTTGTATTAGCATGGATGATTAGTGATTGTACAAACGTATTATTGTATCCCTGAGGTAATAGATTAAACGAACCTGTATGCTACCTATACATTCAAACGGGCTCGTGGTTTTTTTAGTGAGACATATTTTTTCTTCTTTTGACATATCAATCCCATCTTTCAACGTAATAACATTCTCATGAACTCTAATAATACCATGGTACTCTTTCCACCAATCTCATTTGACACAGCAATCTCATTTTTTAAAAATGATTTTATCAAATTTGAAAGAATAATCTTTGGGAGAAAATATTTCTCTTGAAATATATATTGATTGATTACAATTTGAACAAGGGTTGTGCATATATAGGATCTTATATGCTAAAAACTCTATATGGAAACTTGAAGAAGGATTATGTTCATTGAATAATTTGTGAGGAGAGTACATGTATATATACAAAAGTCTCAATCTTAATTATGGTAGGAGAGACCATCTAGGAAACCTATACAAACATGGTAACAATAATAATACAATAATATTAAATATATTATATATATATTTAACATTCTCCCGGCTACGTCGGCAGTGATGGGGGTCGGATACCCAGGCTTTCTCTGAAGTCAAGAAATAAGAGTGAGGGCAGTCCCTTTGTGAAGATATCAGCAAACTGAGAAGATGACGGAACATGCAGGACTTTGATCTGACCGAGCGCCACCTTATCACGCACAAAGTGTATGTCAACTTCAACGTGCTTGGTGCGTTGATGCTGTACCGGGTTTGACGAAAGGTATACTGCACTAACATTATCACAAAAGACAATTGTCGCACGACGGAGTGGCTGTTGGAGCTCAAGGAGAAGATTTCGGATCCAGCTGGTCTCTGCAACAGCATTTGCTACAGCTCGGTATTCAGCCTCGGCGCTGGAGCGAGAAGTGGTGGCCTGGCGTTTAGACGACCATGAAACAAGATTGTCGCCTAGGAAAACACAGTAGCCCGATGTGGAACGCCGCGTATCAGGACAGCCTGCCCAATCAGCGTCAGAATAAGCCTGTAAGTAGTCGGTGGCAGATCGTGTCAAGTAAATGCCATGAGTGGCAGTACCACTGAGATAACGAAGAACACGCTTCATGGCTGTAAGGTGGGCATCACGTGGAGCATGGAGATGTAGGCAGAGCTGCTGGACTGCATAAGTGATGTCAGGGCGAGTGAAGGTGAGATACTGCAGCGCACCAACGATGGACCAGTAAAGAGAGGGGTCAGAGAGTGCTGTGCCAGCAGACGCAGACAGCTTCGCCTTTGTATCCACCGGGGTCGATATAGGTCGACAGGAAATCATCCCTGCCCTCTCAAGGATGTCGTGAGCAAACTGAGTCTGGTGGAGGAAAAGGCCAGAAGCTGTGCGGTGAACATTGATCCCAAGGAAAAAGTGCAGATCACCAATATCAGTCATGGCGAATTCAGCCTTAAGCTGCTGTATGAGACTCTGTAGTAATGCTGGGGAGGATGCGGTGAGAACGATGTCGTCAACATAGAGCAATAAGTAGGCCGTGCCCACGGGCTGAGAGAAGACAAATAGGGATGTGTCGGCCTTGCATCCTCTGAACCCAATGGTCTGTATGAAACCTGCAAATCTGTGAAACCAAGAGCGTGGCGCTTGCTTGAGACCATATAGAGCCTTCTTGAGTTTGCAAACATAGTGAGGGCGAGTGGGATCCTGGAACCCAGAAGGCTGGCTAGCATAGATGGTCTCCTGCAGCTGGCCATGAAGAAACGCATTTTTTAACATCAAGCTGATGAATGAGCCATCCTCGAGATAGAGCGATGCTGAGGACGAGACGAACAGTGGCGGGCTTGACAACGGGGCTGAAAGTCTCGTCATAGTCAACACCAAAACGTTGGTTGAAACCGCGAACCACCCAGCGGGCCTTATACCTGGATAACTCACCTGTTGGGCCAAATTTATGTCGAAAAAGCCATTTACCGGTGATAAGGTTTTGTGAGGGGGAGGGGGGTACTAATTCCCATGTGTCATTCTTTATCAAGGCATTATATTCATCACACATAGCAGCATGCCAGTTAGGATCTTTTAGTGCACTACGGTAGGTTGGGGGTAATGGGGAAATGGGAACGGAAGTGTTAAGATTAAGGATTTGTTTAGGGCAGAAGACACCGGCTTTGGAGCGGGTTTGCAT